GTGCATGGTGTGAGGTATGGGTCTTGTTTCAGTTTTTTGCAGATGGATATCCAGTTATGCCAGCACCATTTGTTAAAGAGACTATCTCTTCCCCAGTTAACAGACTTTGGGCTTTTGTCAAATATCTGCTGCTCATAGATGGATGGATTTATGTCTGGGTTTTCAATTCTGTTCCACTGGTCCATGTATCTGTTGTTGTACCAGTACCAGGCTGTTTTGACTACTGTGGTGGTATAATAGGTTCTAAAATCAGGTACTGTGAGGCCTCCCACTTTGTTCTTCTTTTTGAGTAATATTTTACTTATTCGGGGCCTCTTCCCTTTCCAGATAAAGTTGGTGATTTGTTTCTCCATCTCAATAAAAAATGCCAGTGGAATTTGGATCGGGATTACATTGTATCTGTAGATCACTTTGCTCCTCCTTTTCTTCCTACGCCCTCACAAACCACATTCTCAGGAAGGAGCACAGATTACAGCTCTCAGACTCCATTTCCCAACCTCCTGCCAAGACAACCACAAACGGGCATACTCTGAATGCCCAACTGCAGTAATATTACTACTCCGAAATAATTGTTTTATTCTGAGTATTAACTCAAGGTTAAACATAAAACCCTTAAGCGCAGGATATTAAAGGTAGGCAGTACCAAGGAAATCACTGATGACACACACAGTTGGTGCAACATTTACATTTATTTCCCTTCAGCAAGCTAAGCAAGAGGAAGTAATGGGGAGGAGGACAGGGTATTAGGGACACAGCCTGTATTTGTTTCCTAGGACTACTGTAAAAAATTACCACAAACCATATAGCTCAAAACAACAAAATTTTATTGTCTCATAGTTCTGGAACCTAGAAGTCAAAATTTAGGGTGTCAGCAGAGCCATACCCTCTCCGATGCTCTAGGGGAAGATCCTTTCTTGTCTCTCCCAGCTTCTGGTAGCCCCAGGTGTTACCTGGTTTGTGGCAGCATAATTCAAATCTCTACCTTGTCCTCACAGAGCCGTCTTCACAGAGCCAGCTTCCCTGTGAATCTCTGTGCATCTTCTCTTTTTATAAGAACACCACTCAGACTGAATTAGGGCCTACCGTAATGCAGTATGACCTCGTCTTAATTATATCTGCAAAGATCGTTTTTCCAAATAAGGTCACGTTCTCAGGTACCACGGGTTAGGACTTAAACATATCTTTTGCGGCGACACAAATCAACTCGTACCACAATCTTAACAGGAATGGTCAGTTTCTCACTGCCTCAGCGCCGCTGACCCCAGCTGCGGAGAGAGGATCCCTGCGACGTACGGACAGGGAGACAGGGACACAGCAAACTACTCAGGCTGCCAGGTCCAGTACAGATCTGCGCCTGCGCGGTCGGAGCACTAAAACCACTGTTCCCAGGATCCTTCCCGGCAAAGTCGCTTCCTGTCCCAGAGGCCCCACCCACTGAATTCCGGTGGACCTAAAAGACATCTGCAACAAAGCATAATGGCAAACATTCTGGGAGTGAGAACAAGAGGAAGCCTCTATGTGAAGTACCATCCAGGAGAGAGTGCGGGTCACAAACCTGCTGCCAAGAGAGAAAAAAGCTTTCACCAGGAACCAGCCTGGCACAGACTTCTGGGAAATGGAGTCATTGTGAGGCTGCGATGAGGCATGTGCGCATCACCGGAAATTTCGCTTTTGAGGTGCGTCCTCTTTGGCGCGAGAGAGGTGGCGCAGTTTCTGAGTCGTTGCCTGTTACTGGTCGCTTTTTCGGGAAACCTCGCAGCGGCATTTGCTCCCGGGGCTCTGCTTGAGGCCCAGCCGGTGTTGCGCCACGGGCTCCCGAGCCAACGACTGGCTGTGGCTGGGGAGACCTAGTGAAGGAGTTGGCTGGAGATCCCAGGGTCTAGTACCCAGGCACAGAGCCGGCCTCTAAGGGGAGAGGCGGGGAAGGAAGAAGCGTCCAGCCCGGGAGCAGTAAGAGCAGGCCTGCACAGTCGGGGCTGGGGTTTCTGTGGAGCGATTCTGACTCCCAAAGGACTGCTGGGAGGCAGTGGCGCTAGCTGGGACCCAAATGCTGGAGGAAGGAGGTGAGGAGTGGTGGAGGGAGCGGTTTGCAGGAGATCCGGCTTCTTGTTCAAGCTTGCCTACTAAAGCTGTGTGACCCAGACCAGAAGTCTGCGGCTGTTTTCTCCACACGTGTTTGGGGACAATCTTTTTTTGAATAAAGAATTCCAGGGTCAAAAATTTTTCAAGACGTCAGGCCTGGAGTATCCTTCCCCTTACCCGGATCTGCCCGATGGAACGATGGCACTAGAGAGTAGGGAGAAGTGGGCCCTGGGAAGGAAAGTGGGATTTACCCTGGGTCGTCTCTATTGCTTCTCTCCTTCCGGCCCTTGAAGGAGCCAGGGATGCTCGGAAGCCCATTGACTCCTCCTAAATTCGGGGGCGGGGTCAATCAGTTAGATTGTATAGTCGTGGAGGCTTCAGGGGATTTGTAATCTGCGAGGTACCGGCTGGGTCTCTTAACTTCTGTTTCTTCAGGGAAGAAAGGACAAAATATAGTCAACTACCTTGTTTATCTCTAAAAATTGTAAGCATCAAATAAAATAACGTTTTTGAAACCACCTTGAACGCCGATACAGAACAGAACAAATGTGTAGGTCGTCTTAACCACGGAGGTCTGTGCCATCCTCCCCTAGATCAAGAAGTCTCTGTATTTGGTCTATCACTTTTCAAGTGCAATTTCACGTCCAGTATCTCCTGTTGTCTTCCCCAGAGATCTGGAAAGCAGGTTAGGTGGTTATCATTTCCACCATACTACAAAAAAGAAAAATAAGATACAGTGGAGTTAGGTACAACCCAGAACATAAGGCCTGTACTAAGTCCAGTATCCAGATACATTTACTTCTTTTTCTGAGCTATTTCTGAGGACTACATTTACCTCTACAGTTTTTTTTTTTTTAATTGAGATATAATTTACATACCATTACATTCACCTTTTTAAAATACACAAGTCAGTGTTTTTTAGCATATTCACAAAGTTATGCAACCATCACCACTATTTAATTCCAGAACATTTTCATCACTCCATAAAGAAATGCCATACCCATTAGCAGTCACTCCCCATTCCCTCTTATCCTAGCCCCTGATAGCCACTACTGTACTTTTTGTGTCTATGAATTTGCCTATTCTGGACATGTCATACAAATGTTATTGTTAGGTGCTGTTGAGTTGGTTCTGACTCAGAGCAATCCTATGTACAACAGAACAAAATACTGCCCAGTCCTGGGCCATCCTCACGATCACTGCTGTGTTTCAGCCCTTTGTTGCAGCCACTGTGTCAATCCATCTCGTCAAGAGTCTTCCTTTTTCGATGACCCTTTACCTTACCAAGCATGATATGTCCTTCTCCAGGGACTGGTCCTTCCTGATAACAGGTCCAAAGTATGTGAGACGAAGTCTCACCATCCTCGCTTCGAGGAGCATGCTGGCTGTACTTCTCCCAAGACAGACTTGTTCCTTCTTCTGGCATTCCATGGTATGTTCAATATTCTTTGCCAACACCATAATTCAAAGGCATTAATTCTTCTTCAGTCTTCTTTATTCATTGTCCAGCTTTCATATGCATATGAGGTGATTGAAAATACCATGGTTTGGGTCAGGCGTACCTTACTCCTCAAAGTGATGTCTTTGCTTTTCAACACTTTACCGAATGCAGTATGTCATTTGATTTCTTGACTTCTGCTTCCATGGGTATTGATTGTGGATCCAAGCAAAATGAAATCCTTGACAACTTAAACATTTTGTCCTTTTTTTCATAATGTTGCTTATTGTTCCGGTTGGGAGGATTTTGTTTTCTTTATGTTGAGGTGCAATCCATACTAAAGGCAGTAGTCTTTGATCTTCATCAGTAAGTGCTTCAAGTCCTCTTCACTTTCAACAAGCAGGGTTGTGTAATCTGCATATCGCAGGTTGGTAATGAGTCTTCTTCCAATCTTGATACTGTGTTTTTCATGTAGTCCACCTTCTTGGATTATTTGCTCAACATACAGATTGAATAAGTGTGAAAGGATACAACCCTGACACACACATTTCCTGAATTTTAAACCACACAGTATCCCCTTGTTCTGTTCGAACAACTACCTCTTGGCATATAGAATCATATAATATGTGGCCTTTTGTTCTGGCTTCTTAGCGTCATGTTTTCAAGGTTCATCTATATTGATAAGGTACTCCATTCCTTTTAATAACTGAATAATATTTCTTTGTATGGATGTATCTCATCTTGTTTATCCATTCCTCAGCTGATAGGCATTTGGGTTGCTTCCACTTTTTGGCTGTTATGAATAATACTGTTATGTTGTGTGGACATGTTTTCATTTTACTTGAGTATATACCTAGGAATGGAATTGCTGCATCATACGATGTCTTAGTTATCTAGACACAAGTGGATGGCTTCAACAAACAGTTTATTCTCTCATAGTATAGTAGGCTAGAAGTCTGAATTCAGGGTGTCAGCTCCAGGGCAAGGCTTTCTCTCTCTGTCAGCTCTGGAGGAAGGTCATTGTCATCAATCTTTCCCTGGTCTAGGAGCTTCTCAGCACAGGGACCCCGGGTCTGAAGGACACGCTTTGCTCCTGGCACTACTTTGTTGTATGAGGTCCCCCTGTCTCTCTGCTGGCTTCTCTTTTATATCTCAAAAGAGATTGACTTAAGACACAACCTAGTCTTGTGATTGAGTCCTGCCTCATTAACATAACTGCCTCTAATCGTGCCTCATTAACATCATAGGGGTAGGATTTACAACACATAGGAAAATCACATCAGTGACAAAATGGTGGACAGTCACACAATACCGGAAATCATGGCTTAGCCAAGTTGACACATTTTTGGGTAACAATTCAATCCATGACATATGGTAACTCTATGTTTAACTTCTTGAGGAATTATCAAACTTTTCCAAAGCAGCTGCACCATTTTACATTCCCACTAGCAAAATATTAAGGTTCCAATTTTTCTGTATCCTCACCGACACTTGTTATTTTCCATCTTTTTTATTATAGGCATCTTGTTGTTGTGTGCCGTTGAGTGGATTCCAACTTATAGCAACCCTGTAATACAGAGTAGAACTGCCCCATAGGGTTTTCTAGCCTGTAGTCTTTATGGAAGGAGCCCTGGTGGCGCAGTAGTTATGTGCTCAGCTGCTAACCAAAAGATCAGTGGTTTGAACCCACCAGCCAGTCCACAGGGGAAAGATGTGGCAGTCTGCTTCCATAAAAATTATAGCAGTCTGCTTCCATAAAAATTATAGCCTTGGAAACCCTGTGGGGCAGTTCTCCACTGGCCTGTAGGGTTGCTATGAGTTGGAATCGACTTGACAGCAGTGGGTTTGGTTTTTTGGGTATAGTCTTTATCGGAGCAGATCTCCAGGTCTTTTCTCCCTCGGAGCCGCTAGTGGGTTCGAACCACTGACCTTTCAGTTAGCAGCCAAGCGCTTAACTAGTGCACCACCGGGGCTTCTTTATAGCCATCTTAGTAGGTGTGAAATGGTATCTCATTGTGGTTTCAATTTGCATTTCCCTAATGACTGATGTTCAACGTCTTTTCATGTACATGTTGGCCATTTGTATATCTTCTTTGGAGAAATGTCTATTCACATCCCTTGGTTGATTTTTTAACTGGGTTATTTGTCTTTTTATTGTTGAATTGTAAGAGTTCTTCATATATTCTGGGTACTAGAATAAGATATATAATTTGCAAATTATATCTATAAGATATAATTGTATATATTATATAGAGAGTAAAAACTGGAAGCTGTGTAAGGCACAAAACTGTCAGAGAAGGAAAACTCAAATATTTTCGACTAAAACAAGTGATATAAAAATGGTAAGACTGCATCCTGTCAAAGGCAGAAAACTGGAAAAACAAGACACTCCCATCAAGTTCTGGCTCTCATAGGTTTCACTGTATTTTTTTTATATATAGATATATATATATATAATTTGCAAGTATTTTCTCTTGTTCTGTGGTTATCTATTCACTTTCTTGATAGTGTCCTTTGAAGCACAAATTTATCTATTTTTTCTTTTGTTGCTTGTGCTTTTCATGTCATATCTAAGAAACCATTGCCTAATCTGAGGTCATGAAGGTTTATTCCTATGTTTTCTTCTAATAGTTTTATAGTTTGAGTTCTTAAATTTAGGTCTTTGACCCATTTTGAATTAATTTTTGCATATAAGGTGAGGTGTGGGTCCAACTTCATTCATTTGCTTGTGGATATCTAGCACTATTTGTTGAAAAGACTTTTGTTTTCCCATTGAAACTCTTGACACCTTTGTTGAAAATCAGTTGACCATAAGTATATGGATTTATTTCTGGACTCTCGATTCTCTTGCATTGATCTATATGTCTGTCCTTATGCCAGTACTACACAGTTTTGATTACTGTTGCTTTGTAGAAAACTTTGAAATTGGGAAGTGAGAGTCCTTCAACTTTGTTCTTCTTTTTAAAAAATTTTTTTTTTTTTGCTCTTCTGGCTCCCTTGCATATCTGAGCCCTGGTGGCGTAGTGGAGCTCAGCTGCTAACCAAAAGATCTGCAGTTTGAATCCACCAGCCGCTCCTTGGAAACCCTATGGGCCAGTTCTGCTCTGTCGTATAGGGTTGCTATGAGTTGGAATCAACTCGACAACGATGGATTTGGTTTTTTTTTTGTTTGGTGCATATCCATATGAATTTTAGCATTAGCTTGTCAGTTTCTGCAAAAAAGCCAGCTGAGATTTTGATAGGGGTCACATTGACTCTGTAGATCATTTTGGGGAGTGTTGGCATCTCAACAGTATTAAGTCTTTCAATCTATTTCCATTTATTTAGGTCTTGCATAACTTCAACGGTGTTTTGTAGCTTTCAGTGTACAAGTCTTTGCAGGTCATCTGTTAAATTTATCCCTAGATATTTCATTCTTTTAATTGCTGTTGTGAATGGAATTGTTTTCATGTAAATGGAAATGTTTTCTTGTAAATGAAATTTCATTTTTGGATTGTTCACTAGTATACAGAAATACAGTTGACTTTTGTATATTTATCTTGTATCCTGCAGCCTTGCTGAACTCATTTATTAGGGCTTTTGTGGATTCCTTGGGGTTTTCTACATACAAGATCAGGTCATCTGCAAAGAGAGAGAGCTTTACTTCTTCCTTTCCAATCTTCTTTTTCTTGCCTAATTGCCCTGGCTAAAACCTCCGGTATAATGTTGAATAGAAGTAGTGAGAGCAAACATCCTTGTCTTGTTCCTGATCTTAGGGGGAAAGCTTTCAGTCTTTCATCATTGTGTATAATGTTAGCTGTGGATTTTTTATAGATGCCCTTTATCAAGTTGAGGGTGTTCTCTTCTATTGCTAGTCTGTTGAGTGTTTAATCATGAAAGGATATTGGATTTTGGAGATGAAAGGATATTGGGTTTTGGAGATGATTATGTGGTTATTTTCCCTTTATTCTATTAATATAGTCTATTAATTGATTTTCATATATTGAACCAACTTTGCATTTCTGGAATGCATCCCACTTGGGCATTACCTCTTGTTTTGATTAAGCAAATGTATAAAATTTGTAGAGCCACTTTCTCCAAAGAACTATTATTGCAAATAATAGATAATTTTAATAAATTATTTATGTGCTAGGCATTGTAACAACTGTTTTATGTGCATTTTTCTTTAACCTTCATATTAAACCTACAAGGGATTGTTATCTCCATTTTACAGATGAGAGAAATGAGATTTAGAGAGGTTATGTGATTTGCTGAAGGGCACATGTTAGTAAGTGGTGGATCCAGGATACTTGAGAGTCCATTAAGCTCTGATGTTTCCCTACAGATGAGTGAGTTGATGAAATTTCCAAAGGAAGAGGAATGGGAAAATATACATGGCTTTCTGTCCTCGATCACAGAAATGTTGCTCCTTCCTCAGTCACTCAGTTATCTGCGAATTTAGCCTGAGTGCCCTGGAACCTGCTATGATACACGTCCTTTGAACCTTCTCTTCGTGGAGAGAATGTGAGACTTGTTGACTCAGTAAGCTGCAAACTTTCATGCCTCGTTGGTTTCTTTCTCTTTCTTCAGTGCTGTCTTCTCCTGACCCTGCCCTTCCCCAAGAGGAAAGTACAGGAGAGGAAGGAATGGCTGCTGGTCTCCTCACAGCCAGGCCCCAGGTGAGTCGGAAATTCACTCTGAGAGACAGCCCTTCTTTCCCCCTCATTATTAATTGTAGGGTTTTTTTTTCCCCCTAATTACAAAAGTAATTCATGTTCATTGCAGAAAGCCTGGAAAATATAAAAAACACAAAGGAAAAAAATCACCCTTAATCACAAAGAGGTAACATTTAACATTTTGATTTGTGTCCTTTCAGTCATATTCTTCCTTTCTTTATTCTCCCCAAATGGGTTTGTCCTGCCTTATAATTTCCTTTTTATTTCCACTTAGAAGAATTAGATGAATATGGCCCCATTTCATTAAGAATAGCCTGCAAAATCGTCTCCAATGGCTGCATTCTATTAGACTGCACAGTCCCTCTATAAGGGCAGAACTGTCTTCTTCACTATTTTATTGACTGGACTAGGTATTGGTCTGTCTGTTTTCATTTTTTAAAAGTCTGCTCTTAGATTTCCTCATCAGTACTACTCTTTATTAATACATTTTCTTTATTAATTTTTTACTTCTGCTTTCCTCAGATTTATCTTAAAATTTAGTTTTTAATCTTTTGAGTTGACTCTTTTAACTCATTTGCATCCTTTCTTGTTTATATTGAAAGTTTTTAGTTGTGGATTTTATTTTTTAGATAGACCAAAATTATGATTTTGATTTCTTTGCCCATTTGGCTGGTCTCTGCGCCATGAGGACAGAGTCCATATCTCTTGTCAACACAGAATACCCAGGTAGAGTCAGATTGCAGGGCATGGGGCTTGATAGCTATGTCAGCTCATCCTTCCTAAGTCAGTCAGTCAGTTCTTCCAAATCTTTATCTGTTTATTTTTTGACTAGTTGATCTCAGTGATTGAGTTACTTAGACATCTCTCACAGCAGTAATTTTTTTCTCCTTGTATTTCCTACAGTTATTGTTGTTTATGACATTTATGTCTTTATATGAATTTTACTCTCTTGATTATTATAAAGTAACCCTGTTGTTTCAAATATTTCATAGTTTTGTTTTGTTTTGTTTTTTTAAAAAAAAGACCCTCTTTGTCCCAAGTATTTCTTAGTGTGAGAGGTGGATCAGAAAGGCAAGGTGAAATTAGAGTCAGGGGCTAGTTACAATTTGGGGAAATAATGCTGGCTTAAAACAAGGCAGAAGTGGGGGGATGGAGAAAAATGGTTGAATTCTAGTGATATTAAGGAGGAAGAATCAATAGTCGATTGATCTGGGGAGGCTTTAGGAAAGGGGAGGATAACACCCAGATTTCTGGCTTGGCTGACTAGGTGAGTAGAGGTGTGACTCCCTGAGCTAGGACTAGACAAGGAAAAGCAGGTCTTCAGGAGAAGATGGGCTTCCCTATTGCATTTTGTTGAATTTGAGGTTCCTGTGGGACCTGGCCAGGAGATAATTACTGCCTTATGTTAATAAGTAGTTAATAACTAATAATGTGATTAGTCTCTCTCCTTTCAGCCACCTGCTTATACTCCAGGTACCTAGCGCAGGGTACCTTGCGTAGAGTAGGTGCTTGTTTGTTGTATGAATAGCTTCTGCTGACACCTACATGCCTTATGGCTCCTGCTGTCTCCTGAACTCCAGACTCGTGTTTTCAGATGTTCTAGAACACTGCAGCAAGCTGGAACTCAGTGGGGCCAAAAACAAACTTTGCTGACAAGTCTCCTTTTCCCATGTTTCTTCTCTTAGTTGTTGACATCACCATATACCTGATTTTCCAAGCAAGAAACATCTTTGATTCATCCTCAGTTGATCATCTCTCTACTTGACACTGATACTGTTAAAGATCTTAACCTCTCCCCACCTCCATCTCATGGCACATCTTTCACTGCCTCCCTATTGCCCATGGGATAAAAACACCACTTTTATTAAGTCGTTCGAGGCTTTTTACATTCTGACCTCAACCAGCCTTTCTAGGCCCTTCACTCCCTCACCCCCTCATTCGCACTGCCTAGACCACCTGTCATTCCCTGAATACAGAAATGCTTTCTTGCTCCAGTGCTTTTGCTCATGGTGCCTGCCTCACCTTGGATACCCTTCCCTTGGTCCATCAGGACAACCTTCTTCTTCAGGGTCAGCTCAGTGATTGCCTTCTTTCTGTGGTCTTCCCTAATTGTCCCTTCCTTCTCCCAGGATTCCTCTTCTGTTTGACACATATTATTGCAGTTGGTTGCTTACATACCTGGCTCTCTTGCTGTATTGTGTGATATCTGAGTTCACAGATATCTTTGTTAAATGGTCTGAAAATTCACTTTTCACATTTCTTTTCTAATTTGCACCTGATTCCTAACCATACAAATTTACATATTCTAATTCCCCTCAACCCACTGGCTCTTTGAAGGACCCCTGGTGGTGCAGTGGTTAAAGTGCTCGGCTGCAAACCGAAAAGTCAGCGGTTCAAACCTACCAAGCGGCTCCACAGGAGAAAGATGTGGCAGTCTGCTTCTGTAAAGACTACAGCCTTGGGAATCCTATGGTTCTACTCTTCCTATAGGGTCGCCTATGAGTCAGAATCGACTCAACAGCAACATGTTTGGTTTTTGGTTTTTTTATTGGCTCTTTAACTCTGAAGTACCTGTTAGTTTCTGCCCAGTTATTTCTCATATGTATTTTCTATCTATTTATATATAATGTCTGCCAAAATTATAAACGTGTAAAGACGAGAGATGGTGTTTTATTTACTTTTTTGCATCACAATCCAATAGAGTGTAGGAACTTAGAAAGTGATCAACAGATGCTTTTCTTGAACTACCCAGAGCCCTGAATCTTTCAAAGACTCTTTCTAGGCATACCATAGGCCTGGGTGAGCTGGAATATGCTTGTTGTTTCAGGGATCCATGTCCTTCAGCAGTATGACTGTAGCTTTTACCCAAGAGGGCTGCAGACACCCAGTCCTTGCTCCGAGGGACAGATACAAGGAGGGGATACCAGAAAAGTCCAGGAACCTGGTCCTACTGGGTAAGAAAACCATTTTCTTAAGATTTGAAATCTGCTAGTTGCTACCTGACTCAATTCTGAAAGTCTGGCACTTCCCAAAGTGCTTACTTTATCTTACCCATTGCCATCAAGTCAGTTCTGACTCATAGCAACCCCATAGGACAGAGTAGAACTGCCCCATAGGATTTCCAAGGCTATAGTCTTTATGGAAGCAGACTGCCACATCTTTCTCCCCTGGAGCAGCTGGTGGGTTCGAACCACCAACCTTTCGGTTAGCAGCCCAGTGCTTAACCACTGCACCAGGGCTCCTTTCCAAAGTGCTTAGCAATCTTTAATTGCTCTGATGCACCAGAGGGATTGTGCTTATCCCTCCTTGTTCCCTAGGGAAAGGTCTGTTGGCAAATAGGCAGTTTTGTTTTGTACCTCCTCAGGCTGCATTGTCATTCTCTTGTTTCCCACCGGCGTAAGGTAACCCTCATTATCAGTTCCTCCAGACTCAGTAGGTTCCCATCTTCCTAAATAGGGTGTTTTATGGGCTTAGCTTAACTCCCTGGGTTAACCCCTCCTTGAAGTTGTGTCTTTACCGTCTTCCAGAAATGCTTTACCAAGACCTTAGAACCATGTCTGTCTTATTTACTGCTGTATACCCTAGTGTCTGGCACCAAGTAAGTGCACAATAATTGTTTCTTGAATGAATTAAATGAATGACCTAACTGGCCTGCTTCATCTCCCCTGAGTTTTGGGTGGCTATTTATACTTAGTACAAATCTCTGAGGCCCATTTCTTCCTCTTGAATAGGACTTCCAGTCTCCCAGCCTGGCTTAAACTCCCAGTTGGAACAGAGAGAAGAACCATGGATGCTGGAAGGAGAAGGCCTGAGAAGTACTTGTCCAGGTAAGTGATCAAGCACTAAGTTGATGAGAGTCTTGGAAGCAAAAGCCCCTTCAAAACACATGTTAGTGCATTTGATTATTGTAGATATTATTAGCCTCATTTTTCAGGTGAGGAAATTGAAACTGGGAGAGGTTAACTCACTTGTTCAAAGCCTCACAGCTGGAAAGTGGTGATCCTGGGATTTGAAGCTAGGTCTGACTCCAAAGCCCACTCCAAAGCCCACTGGAGATGTCTGTGGAGACACATGATATTACTGGCCTCTGGAAGACTTCCTCCCGGGGGGGGAATGAGAGTCATCTTTGCTAGCTTAGCACATCCCCTGCTTGGGCTCACCTCACTGAGGGTCTTAGGTACCTATCTTTACCCACATTTCCAGCTGACAGCTACTGCTACTACCCTCTCTGGCCCTTAGTTAGATTCTGCCCCCTCTCTCTCTGCATGACATTGCCAGAATTTTCCAAGGGCTGATACTAAGAAACTCGGGAAAAACAAAAGGAAGGGAAACCAGTTTCTGCTGTTTATCCTTGCACTTGTTTTCACCTAAGGTTGTTTGCTGTACTCCCACCATCACATCTCAGCCTCTGCTGTCGTGTGACCTCTGTCAGGGCCTCCGTAGTATTTCCCTTTGAACCCAGCCACCTTCAGTGTTTTGAGAATTAAAGCATTAGAGGTAAAAATGAATTAAACTACTTTAAGGTGACAAGTTTTACATTTTTCTAAAAATGTAGCTTAATGCTTTATTTCTTTAGTTACCAATTACTATTGCTGATAGGAAAATGGGAACAGAGCCTCTGGCTTATTTTCTGCGTGGTTCCTCTGAGCTGTCCTTTCTTCCCACCTTATCAACCTCTTTTTAAGCAACGTATCACGTTACAGCAGTCCTCATTTGGACACCAGGTGCCACTCATCCTCGCTGAAATTGCCTTTACAAGGAGCTTCACCAGTCCTTCTGCTTCCTTCTCCCAAGTGCCCCTTCCTCCCCAGCATGCCCATATTTGTTTGGCAGGGCCTTTAAACCTGTGTGAAACCTCAGAAATTGTGTGCAGTATTTTTGTGGCTAGGGGATAGCTGCATTTTTCTGGGAAAAAGATTTATTCATTGTCACAGAGGGGTTCAAGATCCTAAAAAGTTTACCTCAAAAAGTTCAAATCACATTATTAGAAACAGAAGTTGGGAAAGGGTGTTACTACTAACTAGATGTGCTCAGAGGCATTAGTGCAGGGAAGTAGAAGCAACTTTGGATATGGATGCATGAAAGACATGCATTCAAGTCCTGGCTTAAAATCTTTCTTATTTTACAAATCAATATATATGAAAAAAAGTTGTCAACTGTAGAGTGCTGTTTAAGCTATATAATAGTGAATAGAAGTTGTTTAAGGTAAGTTTTAAATTAAACCTGGCTGTAAGTCAGAATTGACTTGACAGCAACATGTTTGGTTGTTTTGGTTTTATTAGAGTAACTCAAATACTGCTTCTGTAGTGTTGTACCTCTGCTCAGAGATCCACAGAGCATCCTGGGCGTCACTGCTCCTCCTCGGGCTGGTTTCAGGGTCCTCCATGATCCCACCCCATTGCGCCGCTCCCAGAACAACAGACCCAGGCCTTTAAAGTACCTTTTCCCTCACTGCTTGCTTGGGAACTTCTGTTGTGGATGCTGCTAGTCTATTTGGCTCTTTCACATTCATGTAAGTATTCATTCAGTAAACAAATACGTATTAAGTATTTGGTACATGCCTGGCATTGTATTGGCTATAACAGAGAACAAAACATAGTCCTTGCTTACATCCTAGTGAGGCACGTAAAAAAAAAACAATGAGTAAACAAAACAACTGATATAATTTTAGATAGTGATGAGTGCTGTGAAGAAAATAAAGCAAGTTACTAAGGGTACAAAGCTGAGTAAGAGAATAGAGATGGAGGGGAGGGGGTACTATTTTAGGTAAGACAGATATGAAAGACCTGAGATCTAAAGGAAGAGAGTAAGCCAGCCATGAAGATCTGGGGGAGGAACATTCTAGGCCATAGCATGTGTTGAGGCCTTGAGGTGAGAATGACTTGACTTGCCTTAGGGTCAGAAGACCTCTGTGGCTAGAGCGAAGGAGAGTGGAAGGCAGGGGACTGACTGATGACATAGGGCATTGTACGCCATGGTAAGGTGTTCAGATTTTATTCACATAGGAAAATAGGAAGCCATTCGAGAATTTTAAAGCAAGGAAAAGGCAATCTTTCTGTTTAAAAAGGTAATTCAGCAGACATGTGGAGAATAGACTTTCAGGGATCAGGAGTAGAAGCAGGAAGGTCAGTTAGGAGGAGGCTGTTACAGACATTCCGGTGAGAGATGATGGTAGCTTGGTAAGGAGGGATTCAGGATGTGCTTTGGTGTTAAAGCCAATAGGACTTGGTAATAGATTGAGTGTCGGAAAGAGTCATTAAGGATGTCCCAGTTTTTTGGCCTAAGCAGTTGGGTAAATGGGAAGACTGACAAAGATGCTGGCTTCAAGGGGGGAAAATCAGTAGTTCCAGTTTGAGTGTTTTCAGTTTGGGACATCCATTAGCTAGTGAGCCAGCACTCAGGGGAGAGGTGGGCTGAGATATAGCAATTAATGATCATCACATGATCTTCTGAATTGTCACTTTCTCACTGCTGCTTGTCACTTCTCTCCTTTCTGTTTTTTATTCAGATAGCCTATTTTGGAGAGCCATCAAACCCATACATGATCGAATACCAAGTTACGTAGAGATACACAGAGACGCCATCAACCTGAAATGGGAATCTCTCAGTGGATCATGCATTAACGTGCACCTGTATAATGCTTTATGATGGTTTACAAGGAAAGGTCAAAAATAATACCAGTACCAGTTGCCATTGACTGACTCATGGTGACCCCATGTGTGTGTATCAGAGTAGAATGGTGCTTCATAGGGTTTTCAGTGGCTGATTTTTCGGAAGTAGATCGCCAAGTCTTTCTTCCGAGGAGCGTCAGGGTGGATTAGTTAGCAGCTGAGCATATTAACCATTTGCACCACCCAGGAACTCCCCAAAATAATAACATTTACTCTGCATCAGGAATGGTTCTGGGTGCTTTATGTCTTACCTCATTTAATCCTCACAATTCTGTGAGGGAACTACTGTAATTATCCCCCTTTCTCAGATGAGAAATCCAAGGCATGGGAAGATGAAATAATTCACTCAGGGTCATAGGTAGTAAGAAGAGGTAGAGCTAACATTTGAACCTAGGGAGTCTGGGTCAAGATTCTATATAGAAAGACAAATAAAGGATGCTTAGAACCTCTCAAAATAAGGTAAAAGGGGGAAGAATCATTCCTTCAAGAAAATTGGGGAAGAATCCCTTCAGAAAAAAATCAACCCTTGTTAAAAGCTCCTGGCCCTCCCTATAACTCCATTTCCTTACCCATAAGGAGACAGGTGTCTGGGTCCCACAGTGGACCTGATACAGGCAAGGGCCTTATGCTTCAGTTAATGTTTTAACACATTCCAAATATTATATATTATATATTAACTGCATTTAAAAGTTTTAAAATGAGAGCGGTCCCATTTTAAGAATCATTAACTCTAAAAAAAAAAAAATAACCATTTTCTGGTTGTAAAAATAATGCTATTTATTCTTTTTAAAATAACTCTTTTTAACTAGTAAAAATAATAAAGGTTCATTTAAAATTTGGAAAATATAAAAAATAATCTAAAAAAATCAAGATTCCCTATAATCCCACCACACAAAATTAATCATCAGTCTTCTTCGTATCATAAAATACAGTAATATATCTATCACTGTATATTCTTTGAAGCAAGCTTATAACTTTTATTATAAAAATAATACTGTCATTGGAGAACACTTAGAAAATAACAGGTATTGACGAAAATAAAAATTGCCCAATCCTACAACCGAAAGACAATATAGCTAACATTCACATCGTCTTATCTTTCCAGTCTTTTTTCAGTAAATACCTTTTTAAAAAAGGAATTATAGTGTACAGATTTCAGATGTGAAAGTATAACTTGTAGTTGGCTGAATAATGTCCCTTCATTGGCTATATTTTAGCCATTCCTTATTTAACATTTAGGTGTTTGTTTTGCATTTGACAGTGATGCTATGATGATCACCCTTGTCTGTACATCTTGTATGATTTCTAATCCTTAGGATAAATTCTTACAACTGGAATTTTTATGTCAACATTTTAAAAGCTCTTGACACATACCACCCATCTGAGACTGGGTTCTCTAGAGGAACAAAACCAGTGAAGCGTATACTGTATTTTTTACGCAAGTAACGTGTGTCTTCTGTGTTTGTTTGCTGGCCACAGCCTCCCACCACCCCACTCCCCCACCCCGTGAGGTATTTTTGTAAGCATGCTGTCCTAATTTTTTTTTTTTACAGCAATATGTGGAAGAAGATTGGTATGGTAGTGCTTGTGAGGGTGCTTTTTTGGGGGAGGACATTTCTGGCAAACAAGCGCAGAAGGTGTGCGTTATTTGTGTTAAAATATGGTGGCATGTATATATAAATATATACATAGAGAGAGATGTATTTCAAGTAAACGGCTCATGCAGTTGTGGAGGCTGGCAATTCCCAAATCTGTAAGGCATCAGGCTGGAGGCTTTTTCTGACTCATATGGTTGCAAGGGCTGACAAACCCAAAATTGGCAGATCAGACAGCAGGCTGCTGGCTCACAGCCCAAGAACTGGAGGTCAGAGGATGATGGGTTGGATGCAGGATCGAGAGAGAGAGAGCTTTGCCAGAACATCCGTATATATTGGATGCAGGCCACACCCCCAAGGAAACTCCCCTTTCAACTGAGTGGCTGCTCACATCAGATCACAAAGTGGAGGATGATTACATAATATCTGCCAAACCACTGAAAATCATGGTCTAGTCAATTGACGCATAACCTTAACCATCACAGTCTACCCCTTGTCAACTTGGCACCTGCAGACTATCTGTAAACCAGACATAATCTCTAAATGAATTTTAAAAAAAACCAAACCCATTGCCGTCGAGTCGATTCCAACTCATAGCAACCCCATAGGACAGAGCAGAACTGCCCCATAGAGTTTCCAAGGAGCGACTGATGGATTCTAACTGCCGACCTTTTGGTTAGCAGCGGTAGCATTTAACCACTACGCCACCAGGGTTTCCAGTCTCTAAATAAAGACGATTATAAAGTCATAATTGTAGCTAACGTAATACAGCTAATATGCGTACAACCAAAAACACACTAGCCCTGTTTACAGCTTATATTTTATAGTGAGTAATGGAATAAGGGAGGGAAGAAAACACACGCATTCACGTATAATAAAACAAGGAAGAAATAACAATTACCCTCCTTGTTTCTGCAGCTGGTCACGTGGTCATAACTGGTATTTAGGAACTACCTTCTCCCACCACCCATTCCATATTCCCTTTGCCCTCAGCAAGCTCCTCAGCCGATCGTGGTTCTTTGTCTGGTGGGATGACCCAAACCTTCATTCCTGAAGGGTCTGGGCCATTAGTAGTCATGTCAGAATTGGGTTGTTGTAGTTTTCCATTGACTAATCACACGGCATGGTGTAGTACTAAGAGACGTCCTAAGGGATCTCCTGTATTCCAGACATACTCTTCTTTACCTCCATTATGTCATATCAATCTCATTTCTCCCTTGGTAATCAGGATCAATCATACTAGCCACAGTAACTCCCTTCTTTGCCTGTTGATCCAGAGGCATGAGGAGACCAAAGTGTCCAGGTGGCATTCTTCCAGTTCAGTGGAATCAATGTTGTCTCTCCTGGTGGGAGCATTCCTCCCTTTGTAACTAAGACCTCTAGACCCCCAGAGCATAGGGTTGAAGGGACAGGAAGCAAAAACTTTGCAAGTGGGTCACTAGGGGTAATAGTGATGGTGCCGCTCCCATTTCCACCCCTTGATTCCTGGACCCGCAAATCCTGGCTATGGGAGAAACAGCACCATATATTGGATGCTGGTTTAGAGCATACACAGTCTCCTGGAGAACATTGCCTCTACCCTCCAAGGTATTGCCACCTACCTGGTGCCTTAATGGTGTCTTTAAAAGGCCATTCCATTGTTCTGTCAAGCCAGCTTCTTCAGGATTATGGGGAACACAGTAAGGCCAGTGAATTCCATGAGCATAGGCCCATTGCCATACTTCATTTGCTGTGATGTGAGTTCCTTGACCTGAAGCAATGCTGTGTGAGATACTGTGACAGTGGATAAGGCATTCTGTAAGTCCATGGATGGTGGTTTTTGTAGAAGCATTGCATGCAGGGAAGGCAAATCTGTATCCAGAGTAAGTGTCTATCCCCGTAGGAACAAAATGCTGCCCTTTCTATGATGGAAATGGTTCAATGTAATCAGTCTGCCACAAGGTTGCTGGCTGATTGCTCCTAGGAATGGTGCCATATCGGGGACTCAGTGTTGGTCTCTGCTGCTGACAGATTGAGCACTCAACAATGGCTGTAACCAAGATGGCCTTGGGAGTGGAAGTCTGTGTTGCTGAGCCCATGCATAAACTCCATCCCTGCCACTATGGCTACTTTGTTCATGAGCCCTTTGGGCAGTGACAGGAATGGCTAGGGAAAGAGGCTTACTGGTATCCACAGAACGTGTCATCCTACCCACTTGATAAAATCCTCCTCTTCCAAGGTAACCTTTTGGCGAACACTCACGAGACACAAATATCTTCACTTCTTTGGCCCATTCAGAGAGGTCTGTCAACATGCCTCTTCTCCATACCTCCTTGTCGCCAGTTTTCCAATCATGTTCCTTCCAAGTCCTTGACCATCCAGCCAAACCATTGGCCATAGCCAATGAATCAGTATACAATCACACAGCTGGCCAAGTTGACACGTAACTTTAACCATCACACCACCAGACTGCCCTCCAGAACAGCTGTCCCAATTCATACAGCCACAACAGTGTATGAGACACCCCATTCTGTTGCACTCTTACACTTACTCTAGAATTACCCATTTAAAAAAATATCTTGCTTATTTGATAGGTGAAAACAACTTATCTTACTTAGGTCATAAGCCTTTTAAAATATTTAAACTCAGAAACCAGATTGCCCCAAACCACACTGAGAATTGTGAGGATATGAGTTTTGATAGGGTGGGAACAGGGACTGGTTATCTAGTAATTAAGGTAAGCACAGGATTACTTATTAATCTGTAGTGAATAATTTCACCACAAAGAAATTGTTCACTACAGATGATCTGGTAAGCAAGGTAAGCACCATGTTTACCTTATTGGATAACTTACCCCTGCCTGGGAGTAGTTTCCAGAAGACAGCAGAAAACTACCCGTTACCTGGCCAAGAGCAGACAGTAATACCAGAAATAGGAAAAGAGTACTGCATCTGAGGCGCAGGAGGATTAGGGTAAATTTCATCCTCTGCAGTTTATGAAAGGGATTAATGGGTGCTCTGGCAGCTAACACTAAACGTCTCAGAAAAACAGATCTTGGTCATTCTTTTATGGGTTATAACAGAAGTGTGAAACAAATGTTATGGATAGAAAGAAATCTGAATCATCAAACCTGTCTGCATAAGAGCTTGGCCAAACTCTTAAGGGAATAAAGGACAATTGCTTTTCTAAATTTTTTTTCAGACTGGAAGACTGTATCCAAGGAGTCACCACCAGAGCAAGATATTTCTGAAGAATCATTCCAGGACCCAAGTGTAGAAATCCCCCCTGGTGAGTCAGACCATAGGAACAGTGAATTTGGGAAGAGCTTCAATCTGAGACTGGTCCTTTCTCCACAACCCAGAGTTCCTACAGAAGTGAGACCCCGTAAATGTGAAATACATCCAAAGAGCTTCAAGAAGAATTCAGATATAATTAAACCTCACAGAGCAAAACCATACACATGTAATGAATGTGGCAAAGCCTTCAGTTACTGTTCATCCCTTTCTCAACATCAGAAGAGCCACACTGGGGAAAAGCCCTATGAGTGCAGTGAATGTGGGAAGGCCTTCAGCCAGAGCTCATCTCTTATTCAGCATCAGAGGATTCACACTGGAGAGAAACCTTATAAGTGCAGTGAATGTGGGAGAGCTTTCAGCCAGAATGCAAACCTCACAAAACACCAGCGAACTCATACTGGAGAAAAGCCCTACAAATGCAGTGAGTGTGAGAAAGCCTTCAGTGACTGTTCAGCCCTTGTTCAGCATCAGAGAATTCACACTGGAGAGAAACCCTACGAATGCAGTGACTGTGGGAAGGCCTTCCGTCATAGTGCGAATCTCACAAACCACCAGAGGACTCACACTGGGGAAAAGCCCTACAAATGCAATGAGTGTGGGAAGGCCTTCAGTTACTGTGCAGCATTTTTTCAGCACCAGAGAATTCATACAGGAGAGAAACCCTATAAGTGTAAAACATGTGGGAAGGCCTTCAGCCAGAGTGCAAATCTCACAAACCATCAGAGGACTCACACTGGAGAGAAACCCTACAAATGTAGTGAGTGTGGGAAGGCCTTCAGCCAAAGTACAAATCTTATAATCCACCAGAAAACCCACACTGGAGAAAAGCCATATAAATGTAACGAATGCGGGAAATTCTTCAGTGAGAGCTCAGCCCTTATTCGACATCATATAATTCATACTGGAGAAAAACCTTATGAATGTAATGAGTGTGGAAAAGCATTTAACCAGAGTTCATCCCTTAGTCAGCATCAAAGAATTCACACTGGCATGAAACCCTACAAATGTATTGAGTGTGGGAAGGCCTTCAGGTGTAGTTCAGCTTTCATTAGACATCAGAGACTCCATATTGGAGAGTAACTGGGAACATGAGAAAGTGGAGAAAACCTCAGAGGTGTCAACTTATTAATCAAAGATGAGTGGGGACCTCACAGACAAATGCAGATGGTTTTAAAGCATTGGGGACATACGACATTTAGTTTGTAGGCCAGAGCCACGTGAAAATTGCCTTCAATAAATGTTTCATTTTGTTACATGGCACATGTGGGAGGTGTTGAGCTCTCTTCATTCTTAACACCATTCAGCAGACATCACAAGGTAGGGAATTGAACAGTTCAACTCAAATTTTCATTCAACTTTAAGAGATTTATTTTTATTCAGATAGTGTATGAAAGAATGCCTTCTATGTAGTAGGCACTCCAGAAACCTTTTGTCTATTAGGAATAAATGATCAAATCAATAGGTGAAGAACTTGACTCCTCCATCAAGGCCAGGCATTTAGGCAGTGCTCACAAGTAGTGAGGGCTTTTGCAAAAGGCGAACCAAGAGCAGAGCATTGGCCAGGAATGATTTGTGGTTAAGAGCTCAGCTGCTAACCAAAAGGTCAGCAATTTGAATCCACTTTGCAAACCATATGGGGCAGTTCTACTGTCCTGTAGGGTTGCTGAGTCAGAATCGAATTGACAGTGCATTAAGTCAATTTTTGATTCAGCAACCCCGTGCAAGAGAACTGCCCCATAAGGCTTTTTTTCTAGGCTGTAACTTATGGGAGCAGATGGCCAGCTTTCTTCATCTGAGTTACTGGTTGAGTTCATACCTACCTTTGGATAAGCAGCCAAGCACTTAACCATTTTGCTACCAGGGTAAACATCAGCAATACAGCTGCCACTCAGGAAAGCACTGCTAGGCCAAATCTCTTTATAGGCTATTCTTTTTACTCGTATCACACCAAGTAGGTGGCTCAGTGGTAGAATTCTCACTTCCCACACAGGAGACCTGGGTTTGATTCTTGGGTGATGTACCTTAAGTGCTGGCACTACATGTCATTGGAGGTTTTGCCTAAGGCCTGAAGATACACTTCTGAAAAACAGCCCAGTGAAAACTACGGATCACACTAGTCTATAATCAGCAACATTTCAGTCTGCTGTGCATAGTCTTCATGAGTCAGGGACTGACCTGATAGTAGAGAAGGTACTATGTATAGTTTTTTTTCCCTCAGAAAAACAGCCCCACAGACAAGGACAGTGAGGGTGGGCCAGGGAAGTCTTAAAGAACAGGATAATGAAATCCCCTGTGGTGTGTGAAGGTCATCACTTTCTGCAGAGACAGGAAGGGCAGAGTGGGTCACGTAAGCTGAACCAGGCTTCTCATTCCTCTCACCTCTTCCTGACAAAAAAGCAGTGCAATGTCTACTTTTAGGATTTTTACTGTCTGCCTGCTTCCCTTGTTTGCACTCACATGAGTCCTACCCTCCTTACTCCACCCATTTAAATGAACTCTGCTCAGTACTGCTGTGCCTCCCTTGATTTGTTTCCTTGGCAACTTGGAGAGGACTGTGCTGCAGGTGTCCTGAAATGCTTATTTTCTCCCCTCCCCTGACCCATTATCAATCAGGCCACCTGGGGGGATTAAGAACCACTGATTTAAAGAGACGACTGTTGACAAAATGACTGAGAAGCTACGAAATGACTAATGCAGGGAAAAGTGATGAAGGTCTTGGGGCAATCACTCCCTTGAGGCTGGTACCACAGCAGCCCTTTCCAGGTGGTGCTTAAAACCTGTTAGTAGGTGCAGCTTGTCCTCATGCCAAGTATCTTGCAATTTATCCCTTCACTCATCACACATAAGGTAAAGTGTAAGTGCAGGCAGCACTGAGCGGGTAAAAAGAAACAGAATTTAAGATGAAAAAAGAAGAGAATTTAAGAGAAAATGAGTATAGACTTGGCAAAAATAAAAGATGCATCACACAAAGCTTACTAGTCTTTATACTTAAGTGACTACAAAAAGCAGTGACTTTTCCAGATGTTCTTCTCATCTGAGCTGATCCCATACAGGCTAGGTTATGTCCACAGGGAGCTAGTTACCCAGATTGCCATTTCTCCACGGGCTGCCACCTCGGCCCCCACTGACCACCCCTCAAAAGAACCTGGCTTCCCCCAGAGAAGATACCGCATCAAAAAAACAAGCCCACTGGTTATCAAATGATCCTTTATTGAAATATTTTCTTTTGTTCTTAGCTCTGGGGGAAAAGGAAAAAAAAAGTCTTATTAGTAATACCACCAAAAAAATGTTTTCCAACCCCACTATTGATAATTCCTATAACTCTCCAGCTTATATCCATGGATATATTAGCCACCCCACCCCCCCATTTGGGAACTTCACTCCCATTTAAACCAAATGAAACTGACAAGGTCACTTACAGCTGGGCATTCCACAGCACCACTGTTGATGTCATCTATGATGTCATGAGGGTGGCGGCCATCAACATTACAGCCCACAGACTGAGCAGTCCCGAGGATCTCTTTAATAGTTCCTGTAATCGAGAAAAGGTGGCATTAGAGGCGCTCAGTCCCTCAGAATACTCGGTTGAGGAAATAGCCCCACTTCGCTGAGTAGCAGAAGTGACACCCCAAACCTCAGCACTCCATCTAGTTGTGCAGCAGATGCCCGAATGCAAAGTCTCCATTAGTGTCCAGATATAACAGATCCAGCCTAACACTGTCACCACAACCTCAAGCCATTCTTTCAAGCCCAAGAAGACACTGAGCCCCAATTTGAGATCTTATATATATATAGTGTAAATCCTCAGCTAAAAAAGAGCTCTAACCACTCAGCAAAAATCCCCCAAATTACAATAATGAAAGTGCTTCCAAGTTATCCTCTTACCAGAGAGTTCTCTAGCTAAAGATCGGTGTCGCATCTGACGGGCAATGCTGACAATCTCATCAAAAGTGATATTTCCACTGTGCTTAACTGCAGAAAGGAAAACACAAAAACTGTCACAAACCAAGGCCAGAGCAGACTCCACGTCTTCAATCATTCTCTAGGCTGTTCCCATGCTTTCGGCACAGAGTCATCCACATGAAGAACAACCCTGTTTCCTAAGCTGGGGTTTAGTATCAGCTCACCACTGGATTGCACCAGCCAACAGAGAACTGGTCAGGTGCAGTGGCGGGTGGCTAAGGGCAAAACCAAGTCTTTGTTAATCTGACTTTATCAACCCTATTTTAGAGCTGAGGAAAAAGACTCTTCTTTCCCTCATGTGCACTGAGTGGGAGAGGCCCCACACCAGGGTCTGGGGAAAGCTGTGTGGCACTTCTTGGTAGTGCCTGGCTCTGTAACAGCTTTAACTGAATCACGCAATCCCTATGCCAACCCCAGATTTCATTAAAGGGAAAATATGCGGCCCTTTATCAAACACTGGCTACACAACATCCATCACAAACCATCACTAGAACAGATTACCAAGGAAAATGCAACTCACTATTTTTCTGCTTCTTTCTGTCTCTGGGTGGTTCCTTGAGGGCTTTGATGATCAGCGCAGAGGCAGAAGGCACCACTTCAATCTGCAGCAGAAATCCTTGATGTGAATAAACCCCACCCCACCTCCAATGAAGGCAGGCAGTACTGCCATACACTTCAGCTCTCAGTTCCTGAGCCAGACACTGGGCTTGCTATACATTCTCAAGCAGTCCTTACAATCTGACAGGGTGTCTACTAGCCTGGGAGACATTAAGTGGTCTGCCCAAGGTCACACAAGTGACAAATATTAGAACCTATTTCTTTGCCCTAGGCACATGCTCTCAGAAATGTCTTCCCCACAAAGATAAAATTCTACTTTTCTCTACTTTAAAAACAATCTTATTCACTTGAAATTGATTAGCATATGGCTTTTCAGTCAACCCCACTCTGGGCATGTATGACACCCATGTTCCCAGCCTCTCAGTGCAATTCTCCCAACCATAGCAGCTGCCTCCTATAGCTGGGAGCAGGACTGCTTTCAACGCACCACTGGTAGCAAGGTGGCTGTGCCAACAAAATCATTCCACCCAAGGATCCCCAGAGGATTGCTACCTCCTCCATCTCTCAAACTAAGTACAGGTAAATACCTGGGCCTGTCTGTTCTGAATGGTCAGCTTCACTGTAATCCTCAGACCCTTCCAGTCACCAGTTGCCTTGGCAATATCATCACCAACCTTTTTTGGAGACTGTAAAAACAGAAGTACGTAATCACATTGTGCCCAAAGTTGAAACACAGCCTTATCATCTGCCTGGGACCTCACCTGGCAACGTCCTAAATCTTCCCTTTCCAGCATCCAGGAAGCAAATGTATGAAGCACCTAACTTTACCTAATCATGGCACCGCTATCCCCATAGAATAAATCAGGAAAATGACATTGAAGGTTAATTTTGTCCAGGGCTGTAAGCTGTAGGCTCAGGGCCAAGTCCCTTACTTGAAAGGGTCTGTGTGGAAAAGTAGGTGATTTCAGTCCAGTTACATTAGAATTACCTGAGTAGCTTTAAAGATACCAGGTTCCCATTTCAGACCAATCAAGTCAAACTACAGGGATGGAATCTGGACATCTGCTACTTTTTAATTCCCTTAGTGATCACTAGCCTCAACAGGAGGGATGTCTGTATAAGTGCCAGATATGCTAAAGACCAAGATAGAGTAATAAAACATTAGTTAAGAAAGACATGGGGAGAGCATGTGGGATAGAACACCGCCCAAAGAATAAAGGCCTAAAGATATTCAGGGAAATGCAGGTTCAGTAAAAGCACAGTATAAAGCGGACAGTAGGGAGATGAGGCTGGTTATCAACAGACTAAGCAAAAGCTGGTTCTATTAAACACTAGGTTTACACTTTAGGACAGTGGTGCAAGTACAAACTACTATACTACTCACCAGGATCTTCACCCCCCTCCCCATTTAATCCTCCCAACAGTGCTAAACCCATTTTTTTGACCAAGAAATGTAGGTTACCCATTGTAGTAAAGCCACCCCCGACTCCAAAACCCTCACATTTGACTTCCTCCAGCTCAAGCCTCAGAAACACTAAAAGCAACTATACAGACATGTGCAGACTAACTTCAAGGATTTTCATACATAACCTTTCTATGGTACCTACTGCCTGTGCTGAATTCGGTCGGAGATGATAAACGATTCCAAAGATGTGGGCAGCTCAGGTACACTCATGTTTGCCCAAGCCAGAACTTAACTTTGCTCTTCTCATGTAGATTAAGAAATACACCTCCATTAAGAATAACTTACCAGACCCAGGGGGCCGATCTTGGGGGCCAGAGCAGACGTGGCACCGACTTCCCCACCGGTGCACCTCAGGTACACTGGGAAAAAAGAAGGATTAGTGCTTCTGCAAAGACAGCCCCCGACCCATAGCCCTCTCTCTGCATCTTCCCGGGGCTGGTCACACCACGCAGTGTCTCTTCTCAAATAAGCAGCAAGAACCTTAGTGGGGACACAAATAGGCCCCCTTCTCGCCCTCCCGGCGAGCCACCTCCTCTCCCTTGGGCGTAGGCCGCAGCGGGTGCCACGTGGAGCAGCGACCTTCGGCTCGGCAACCACCTATGCCCCACGCCGGGCCGACATGGAAGCTGCCCTGGCCGCCAACGAACCCAGCCCAGAAGAGCAGAAAAGCCCGTAAATAAACCTTACCCTAGGGCGTGCGGGCTGCAAAGCCGCCACAGGTCGTCCGGTCCTCCCTCCCCATTTAGACGTTTGGGGAAGCTGAGGCCCAGAAAGGGTAAGAGACTCGGGCCAGGACCGCACAGCGCCCCGAATGCAGCGCTGGAAACTCCGAGAAGGCCTCTAGAAGGCCAAGGCTTTAAAGACCGACATGGGAATGGCAAGCGCGGCGGGGGCCGCAGCCCCGATGGGCTGCGGTGAGGAGGGATGCTCCATCCCGCAGCCCCGGCCACATCTAGAGCACCCACCGACTTTGATCTCGTTGGGGTCGAACTTGGGAGGCATGGCGGAGGCGGCTGGTGTCGGATGAACCCAGATGCGGGACGACCGAAGAAAGTTGCACCTTCGCCTCCTCCGAGCCGAAAGACCGTAATTTGCGCGGATCACGCCGGATATAGCCACGAAAACACTGATATCGCGAGAACTGCAGTCTCCGCCCAGACTCCCAGCGACGTCCTTGCGGTCATGTTGCTTCTGGGCAGACAGCTGAAGTTGATGGCTGTAGAGTCGGGCACCACGGTGAGCTGTGGCTAGGGGCTCCAAGGGGGTTTCGAGGCTGTTCGATCCAGGGGAAGGCGGCAAAAGGGGGTTGCTTCCGGGATCAAGAGCTCCACTGTTCCCCAATGTTCCTTACTGGAAGAATCACCCCGGGGTCCCTGTCCTCCCAGGGCCCCGCCCCTCCCCTGAAGGTTCGGCGCCCCAGTTCCGGGACCCTGGTACATTGACTACCCCGAGTTCTCCTACCCTTCTAGTGCTGTGTGCATTTTAGTTATCAAAATAATTTTATACGGGTCTAAATCACCTCCAGTTCTTAAATTCTGGTATTCTGCGGTTCTCAGGGTCTCAGACTTCGTCATCCTGGTCTGCATGACTTTCTGAGATTCTGAGTTTAGGTTGCCAGCTCCTGCTTTTGGAAGAGACCAGACTCCGGCTCCGCCCCGGCCTGTGCCGGGTGGTTTGCGACCCTGCGCCCGTGACCAGCCCCACCGAGTGATCCGTCTGCCTTCGGGTCCACCCGAGGGTCCGAACGTCGAGGACCTCTCCCATCCACAAAACCAGGTCTGGCACAGCTCATCCCGGCCCAAAGGATGGGTGTGATTCTCCCCTTCTGGGCTGGACGTTGGGGAAGGAATCTGGGAGGGCTGCACATCGGGGACTGGTTTGGAAAAAGATGATCTTGGGAGATTGCTAGTCATTGAAGAGAGTGGAAAATGCTGGACGTCGGCGAGGGAGTGAGCGAGGGTTGGTCATTAGGGAGCTGGGGCGTAAGAGCTGGTCGTCAGGGAAGGATAGATGAGAGTTGTTTCCTGACCATTCCCCATGCCTGCTGGCACGGTGAGGTGACTGGAGGGGCCTGGGCCGGCTCAGCAGGCCTGGCAGCATCCCCAGACAGCCCTTGCCCCTGTGGGCGGAAACCTGTGATCTTTACTCCTCCCTCTGAGGACCGGGTGTGTCTTCAGCTGCATTCTCCTCTCCCTCTTCTCCCCTGCTCCTTAATCTGTAGTTGCTGATGAATATGTTTGTTAGATGTGTAGTGCTATGTGGCTAACATTTATTGAGCGTTCACTGATATACCAGCCTTGTGGTGCAGTGGTTAAGAACTAGGGCTGCTAACCAAAAAGTCAGCGGTTCGAGTCCACGAGCTGCTCCTTGGAAACACTATGGGACAGTTCTGTTCTGTCCTATAGGATTGCTAAGAGTCGGAATCTACTGGAGGGCGACGGGTTTGGTGCTATAGGCAAGGAGCTCTGATGGCACAGTGGTTAAGCACTCAGCTGCTAACTGAAAGGTCGGAGGTTCAAACCTACCAGCCGCTCAGGGGAGAAAGATGTGTCAGTTGGCTTCCATAAAAATTACAGCCTTGCATGACACATCTTATAAAGACAATGCTCTACATTCTAGCTTGGTAAGTAGTGTCTGGGGTCTTAAAAGCCTGTGAGCGACCATCTAAGATACTCCACTGGTCTCATCCCTTCGTGAGCAAGGGAGAATGAAGAGAACAGGGTAGAAGGAAAAGATTAGTCCAAAGGACTAATTGTCCCCAGCTACCAAGGCCTCCACCGGCCTGAGTCCAGTACAGCTAGATGGTGCCCGGCTACCACCACTGACTGCTCTGACCAGGATCACAACAGAGGGTTCTGGACAGAGCTGGAGAAGGATGT